GTTTTGTGTAGAGATGTTAATTTTTTGTACCAAAAATTATGAATTTTGTCTATACCAGGTGATTTCCAATTATGTAACCTAGCTGTAATGAATGTTATGTCTAATTCTGTTACCTCTTCGAATTCCATTTCGAATTCCATTTCGTCAATATCTCTCCATTTTGCTTCCTCTTCAATTATCCAAGATGCTTTGTCGTTATGTTGTTTTTGCTCTTCCCAAATACTCGCCCAATATGCTTCTAGTTGTTCTTTTGTAGGTAGGTTAGGTGTATGTGTGTTACGGTCATCGAACGTGTCTGTTTGTGGTTTGTGTAAGTTTCTATAAAACAATTTTTCGTTTGTGGCAAATGTGATGTTATCTTTTTTGCGCTGTTGTGCTTTTTTATACCTTTTTGAGCCTATGAACTTTAAGTGCTAATTTTTGTTTTAACGTGTCTAAAAATTCTGGTCTAACTATAGTTCTTCTTTGGTCTGAGATTCTTTGTTCTGAAACAGTAATTTCTGGATATTGTCGAGTGAAATGTGCGTGTAATTTTTGTCTGTACGTGGTCATATCGGTCTCTGATTTAGTAACGTATAGATAAGTTCTCATGATAAATAGATTTACTTCTTTACTCCATTTCATTCGAACTCGTGCTTTTCCAGCCTTGGTGGACGCGGGTAAGAAGGTAGATACCTCCCGCGCAGCACTCAAGGTCGGAGTAGGTGGAACTGTATTTAAACTAGTAATAGGGGGTGATGGAGGTATTGGTGACGATGGTATGGATGGTGATGTTGGCCTCGAGGGTGTGTATGATACTGTGCTTGGACTATATGGTTCTACAGGGGTGTCTGTCCTGTCCGTTAGTCTGTCACCATCGTCAATGAGTTCGGCTGTAGTATCTTTGTGGGTGGGAGCCCGCCTGTTCAACTCCTCACCGCTGACGGATCGCATGCTGTGACACCCAGCGTCAGCTCCAGGTGCACCCCGGCGATCGCCCCCGGGTAGCGGCCCTATATGTTTACTTTTAGAACGAGTCTCCATTTTATTTACGGGTTTCCGGAGCCACTTTAGCCACGCCAGTAATTTCTCATTCGTGTGTCCGCCCCCCACGTGGTTATAAGATGGTCAATCAGGACGTGTGGTTGTTTAGAGGGGTTATTATTAGTATTATTATTATTTGTTTTTATTTCTCCCTCTGTATTGAGGGGTAGAAAACGGACACATGGGCCTTGATCAAGTGTTGACGCAGGAAAAAAGAAATACTTACAATGATGACGATGATGAGTTAAGAAATTTACGTGTGAGACGACAGGTGTTAAGTAGGACTGCTTTTTGTACAAGTGTAAGAGTGGATTTAGGCATTTGAAGCATGTTGAGGCTGGTTTGAAGGATCTTTGGAACTACACCAGTTGTAGATATGATGATAGGAATGATTTTTACGGAGTCTATTTGCCATTGTCTTTTTATTTCGATAGCCAGGTCAACATACTTTGTCATTTTTTCCGAATGTGTAGTAATGAGGTTGTGTGTGTTGCAAACTGCTATGTCTATTATAAAAACAGATTTTTTAATTTTGTCTAGTATTGTTATGTTCGGTCTATTGTAATGTATAGTCTTGTCTGTTATAATTGTCCTGTCCCAATATATTTTGACGGAATTACTTTCTAAAATAGTGCTGGGAATATATTTATAATAAGCGACCTTTTTTAAAATGAATGAATGTTTGTGGGCCAGGTTTTGGTGGACAGTTGCAGCAACTTGGTCATGTCTATGTTTGTAGTCAGTTAGAACTATAGATTTACATGCACTTGTAATATGTTGAATTGTTTCTGAGCTACTGTGACATCGTCTACATAAGTCAGTTGGAGGGGTTGGGAATATGAATGTGTTTTTGATAGTTACGAGTATCTATTATATGATCCTGAATAGCAATTACAAAAGCCTCTGTCTCTGGGAAGAGTTCTCCGCGTCGGAGCCATTCGTTCGACGCTTGCCTGTCGACATGTGCATGACCGAGATCGGCAAGGTGCCTACCATGCAGAGACTTTTTGTGACCACAAATCTATTTTCTGCTGTTTACTTACTATTTTGAGCTGAAAATTATTATTATTATTTGGGGTATCTATATAGTTTTCTCATCTGGTTGGGTTATATAAATATATAATTATAAATTAAAATGAAACGATAAATATACATAAATATCAATAAAATAAAATAAATACAAAAATACATAAATAAATAAAAGCCCAACCAGATGGAAGCCCTCGGCAGGGGAGACCAAACGGCCGAGGGTTAGGAGGAAAGGGAAAAAACCGGCGGACGATGCGGGCGGTATCGAGGAGCACCGCCTTCTGCATTTGAGCCCGGAGCGGTCCGTCACGGAGTCCCAGTCGCCTCAGATGACCCGAGAGGCTGACTGGAATTAGCCCATTCGCAGAGACGACTACAGGAATAATTTCGGCCGGCAGACCACCACACATATCGGTCACCTCGTGAGCCAGGTCCAGATATTTTTTCGTTTATCTGTTTCGGCTTTCACGAGGTTCTCGTCATACGGAATGGTAATGTCGACCAAAAATATCCTTGACTGTGCCCGGTCCATAGTCCTGTCTGTGATGATGGCCCGGTCCCAGTAGAGCCTGGCGCGGTCATTTTCGAGCACGGCTTCCGGCAAGTACTTGTAATACGGCAATTTCCGATCCACGAGACCGTATTTCAGAGCGAGCTCCTGGTGTAGAATTCTGGCTACTAGGTTGTGCCTGTGCAAGTAATCAGAGTTAGAAAGCGCCGAACAACCGGAGATGACATGCCTAAGTGACTCACCGGGATGGCGACAAGCTCGACAGACGTCGATGGTGCCATCCTTTAGAATGTATCTCCGATAGTTGTTGGTCTTAATAACCTGATCCTGTATTGCACAGACAAAACCCTCGGTTTCCCCAAAAAGGTCACTGAAACCTAGCCAGTTGAGGGAGGCGACTGTATCTACGAAGGGCTCATGTAGAACCCTGTAGTACCTCCCGTGGAGCTCCTTCTCCTTCCATACGGTCTCCTGGTCGGAAATGCTTTGTACTGCCGGGTCTTGCCATTGCTCGTTGGCTAAGGATAGAGGGGTAAGTCCTTTATCACTAGAAATGACGTCGTTATGGAATATATCATCCGATCTCACCAGGAAGTAATTACGGAGGCTGCACACTTCGCGATTATGCTGGTGAGCGCGTTCAGGAAGCCACGCCCACCATGCTTTCGCGCCAAGTACAGCCTCATTACCGACGATCTCGGATGATGCATCCTATGGAACGTCATGGTAGTGCGGACTTTTCTATCCAGGGCGTTAAGTTCGGTCTGAGTTCACCTGAGTATGCCAAAGGTATACATGAGGACAGGCATGACCCAGCCCTTATATGCGTGTGCCTTATTCACACTGGACAAAAGGCTGTTAAGCACTTTAGTCAATCGTGCATAAAACGTGTCGCAAACTGACTGTTTCATACCAGCCTCATCGATACCGATGTTCTGTGACATACCCAGGTATCGGTATGTTTCAGCCTCGGAAAGGGTCCTTAAGTTGACGGGCATAGATAATTCTATGCCCTCAGAGTTAGCAACCATACCCCTCTCAACATGGAGGACCGCACACTTATCCGTCCCCAGCTCCATTGCAATGGAATTGCTAAATTCACAAGTGATGTTTAGCAATTCCATAAGATGGGAGCGACTGGAGGCGAATAATTTAAGGTCATCCATATAGAAAAGGTGGGTCACTTTTGTCCCTCCTTTCCGAAGCTGAAATCCCCTCTCGGAACCCTCCAGTAAAGTACTGAGAGGGTTCAAAGAGAGGCAGAACCAGATTGGACTCAGAAAGTTGCCCTGGAATATACCCCTTCTTATCCTTATGCGGCTTCCCGCAGCCGTCATCCGCTCGCCTAGATGACAGAGGATCGTACTCCACCGCCCCATACACTGTTCCAGGAAGTCTCTAACTGTACAGTCAATCTTGTACGGCTCGAGGACCCTCTTTAGCCATGTATGGGACACCGAGTCGAACGCCTTTCTGTAGACTATCCAGGGGGCAGAGAAGTTCCGACGGTCGCGTTTCACCACTTTGCCTATGACCGCGTCAATGAGGAGTGGTTCCTTAGTTCCACGACCACCGCCCCGACATCCATTTTGAGCGCATGACACATGGTTTAGCTCCAGGTGACGAGTGATTCTCGCGCTCAAAATGGATGTCAGTGTCTTATATATGGTGGCTAGACACGTAATGGGGCGGTATTTGCTCGGGTCTGTGGTATCCTGATCTTTAGGAACCAAGTGAGTGATTCCAGTAGTGAAGAGGCTCGGGAGTGACTTCTGGTCGAGAACCTCTTGAAACTATCGGGCGAGCACAGCGTGACACACTATGAACCCCTTCAGCCAGCAATGATGCAGCCCGTCGAGCCCCGGACTTTTCCAGTTCGGGACCCTACGGACCGCCTCAGCCACGCCTTCTGGCGTTACGGTGACGGGGTCCATAGGCGTAACACTCGCAGCCTGGCTCGCCACAACTTCCGTCCAAGGCCCTCGCTGTGGTTTACGGGCTCTGACCACAGGCCGCGCCAGAATGCTACAGTGTCGGCCTGATTCGGTGCTGGGCCCGTTCCACTTACCATTGGTCGCTCCAGCGATTTATAGAGCCTCCTCTGATCACTCTGGAAGAGACGATTCCGGTTAAACCGTGTCGACCTCTCGGTATATCGCCGAATCCGCTTTCCCCAAGCAGCGATTCTCTGCTTCAGGTCGTCTATGCCCTCCGTCAGTTTTTGCATTATATCCGGCTGGGACAAACTGACATTTGTCCCAGCAAACGCCATCCTGACGGTGCGCACAATCCTTGGCCCGTTGTTGCCTGACCTGAAGCATATCAGTCTGCCGATTAGGGCCCTAGACTTTGCGATACGTTCTTCAATTCTTATTCTCCAATGCTGGGATAGCGCTACTATGTCCAGTAGCGCGTCCAGCCGTGGAAAGTTTGGCGCCTATAATACGGCACACTGCCAGTGCGGCGCCAAAAAAATTGCGTCCGTCTCGCAAAGGTCCCGGCTGGCTTCCAAATGGGTCACCAGCATTGAGTTCAGAGCCCTCACGACAGCCCGATTCCGCTTGCTTAGGGCTATGCGGGGAAGTCGCGGTCGATTTTCGAGAGGCGTACTGCGCGTTTCCACAATCGCCTCTTCCAATGTACTCCTCATATGCTCTAATTCCAGTTCCTGGGCGACTGTTCCATCATCGTTTGAATCAACCACAACTAGGGTATTTACGGCGGTATTCACGTTTGAGGGGTGCTCTGCAATTTGTGGCGCCGCATCCTCAGCCGTAGCATTCATATACATCCGATGAGGGAACAGCCTCACGTCGTAGTCGTTCGAGTTCGATGCGAGATGCGAGGGGCTGATGGGTGGTCGTGCAGCACCTCTCACTCGGCTGGCGGTTCGCATGCTGTCGCGTCCAGCGCCAGCTCCAGACGCGCCCTGGCGACCTCCAGGCAGCGGCCCTTTGCGCGTATTTGCATATTCCATCATCCATAAAAGTGGGCGTCATTTAACGGGAGACGCCCAGACCCCGCGCGGTTTTATGGTGGGGCCATGTGCACAAGCGGGCCTTTGCGCCTTTAATTTTTGCCGAGGCACGGCTCTAACACCTCTTGATAAGGTGCTGACTGACTGCATTGACGTAGTGGTTTTGTCACATAACCGTTACGTCAGCGGGCGATGGGGTCGTCACTTCCCTACGCCATTATTATTATCTGGGTATCTGTATAGTTTTCTCATTTGGTTGGATTCTATAAATATATAATTATAAATTAAAATGAAAAGATAAATATACATAAATATCAATAAAATAAAATAAATACAAAAAATACACAAATAAATAAAGATCCAACCAGATGGAAGCCCTCGGCAGGGGGAGACCAAACGGCCGAGGGTTAGGGGGAAAGGGAAAGAAACCGACGGACGATGCGGGTGGTATCGAGGACCACTGCCTTCTGCATTTGAGCCCGGAGCGATCCGTCACGGAGTCCCAGTCGCCTCAGATGACCCGAGAGGCTGACTGGGATTAGCCCATTCGCAGAGACGACTACAGGAATAATTTCGGTCGGCCAACCACCCCACATGTCGGTACCTCGTGACCCTAGGTTCTCGTCATACGGAATGGTAATGTCGACCAAAAATATCCTTGACTGTGCCCGGTCCATCAGCACAACATCAGGCTTATTTGCAAGAATAGTCCAGTCTGTGATGATGGCCCGGTCCCAGTAGAGCCTGGCGCGGTCATTTTCGAGCACGGCTTCCGGCAAGTACTTGAATACGGCAATTTCCGGTCCACGAGACCGTATTTCAGAGCGAGCTCCTGGTGTAGAATTCTGGCTACTAGGTTGTGCCTGTGCAAGTACTCAGAGTTAGAAAGCGCCGAACAACCGGAGATGACATGCCTAAGTGACTCCCCGGGATGGCGACAAGCTCGACAGACGTCGATGGTGCCATACTTTAGGATGTGTCTCCGATAGTTGTTGGTCTTAATAACCTGATCCTGTATTGCACAGACAAAACCCTCGGTTTCTCCGAAGAGGTCACCGAAACGTAGCCAGTTGAGGGAGGCGACTGTATCTACGAAGGGCTCAGGTAGAGCCCTGTAGTACCTCCCGTGGAGCTCCTTCTCCTTCCATACGGTCTCCCGGTCGGAAATGCTAAGCATTGCTGTGTCCTGCCATTGCTCGTTGGCCAAGGATAGAGGGGTGAGCCCTTTATCACTAGAAATGACGTCATTATAGAATGGATCATCCGATCTCGCCAGGAAGTAATGACGGAAGCTGCACACTTCACGATTATGCACCGCACACTTATCCGTCCCCAGCTCCATTGCAATGGAACTGCTAAACTCACAAGTGATTTTAGCAATTCCATAAGATGAGAGCGACTGGAGGAGAATAACTTAAGGTCATCCATATAGAAAAGGTGAGTAACATTTGTCCCTCCTTTCCGTAGCTGAAATCCTCTCCCGGATCCCTCCAGTAAGGTACTGAGAGGGTTCAGGGAGAGGCAGAACCAGATTGGACTCAGAAAGTTGCCCTGGAATATACCCCTTCCTATCCTTATGCGGCTTTCCGCAGCCGTCATCCGCTCGCCTAGATGACAGAGGATCGTACTCCACCGCCCCATACACTGTTCCAGGAAGTCTCTAACTGTACAGTCAATCTTGTACGGCTCGAGGACTCTCTTTAGCCATGTATGGGGCACCGAGTCGAATGCCTTTCTGTAGACTATCCAGGCGGCGGAGAAGTTCCGACGGTCGCGTTTCACCACTTTGCCAATGACCGCGTCAATGAGGATTGGTTCCTTAGTTCCACGACCACCGCCCCGACATCCATTTTGAGCGCATGACATCACCTGGTTTAGCTCCAGGTGACGAGTGATTCTCGCGCTCAAAATGGATGTCAGTGTCTTATATATGGTGGGTAGACACGTGATGGGGCGGTATTTGCTCGGGTCTGTGGTATCCTGATCTTTAGGAACCAAGTGAGTGATTCCAGTAGTGAAGAGGCTCGGGAGTGACTTCTGGTCGAGAACCTCTTGAAACTATCGGGCGAGCACAGCGTGACACACTATGAACCCCTTCAGCCAGTAATGATGCAGCCCGTCGAGCCCCGGACTTTTCCAGTTCGGGGCCCTACAGACCGCCTCAGCTACGTCATCCGGCGTTATGATGACGGGGTCCATGGGCTTAATACCCGCACACTGACTCGCCACAACTTCCCTCCAATGGCCCTCGCTGTGGTTTACGGGCTCTGACCACAGGCCGCGCCAGAATGCTAGAGTGTCGACCTGATTCGGTGCTGGACCCGTTCCACTTACCATTGGTCGCTCCAATGATTCATAGAGCCTCTTCTGATCACTCTGGAAGAGACAATTCTGGTTGAACCGTGTCGACCTCTCGGTATATCGCCGAATCCGCTTTCCCCAAGCAGCGATTCTCTGCTTCAGATCATCTATGCCCTCCGTCAGTTTTTGCGTTATATCCGGCTGGGACAAACTGACATTTGTCCCAGCAAACGCCATGCTGATGGTGCGCACAATTCTTGGCCTGTTGTTGCCTGATCTGAAGCATATCAGTCTGCCGATGAGAGCTCTAGCCTTTGCGATACGTTCTTCAATTCTTCTTCTCAATGCTGGGATAGCGCTACTATGGCCAGTAGCGCGTCCAGCCGTGGAAACCTTGGCGCCTATAATACGGCACACTGCCAGCGCGGCGCCAAAAAGAATTGAATCCGTCTCGCAAAGGTCCCGGCTGGCTTCCAAATGGGTCACCAGCATTGGGTTCAGAGCCCTCACGACAGCCCGATTCCGCTTGCTTAGGGCTATGCGGGGAAGTCGCGGTCGATTTTCGAGAGGCGTACTGCGCGTTTCCACAATCGCCTCTTCCAATGTACTCCTCATATGCTCTAATTCCAGTTCCTGGGCGACTGTTCCATCATCGTTTGAATCAACCACAACTGGGGTATTTACGGCGGCATCCACGTTTGAGGGTTGCTCTGCAATTTGTGGCGCCGCATCCTCAGCCGTAGCATTCTAACATCCGACGAGGGAACAGCCTCACGTCGTAGCCGTTCGAGTTCGATGCGACATCAAATATATTTGAGCGCAAGATATACCGAACTCGGTCTGCCAGGTTTTGCTCTGTGGCGGTTAAAGATGGCTCCAGCTCAGCAAAAAGACGATGCATCCTAGCCCGATACGCCAAACATCCAGTTTCTTCCCCTTTTGCCCTAAAGTACGCCCGCAGTGCGTTTGCATTCATTGCTTGTGACCAACGCATGCGACGTGCTCCACCAGCGGCGGGTGCCGCTTGCTGAGTCCGAGAAGACCCAGCCGACACCAAGCCTTCTGGTGGGGATGATGGATGCGGAGGGCTGCTAGGTGACCGTGCAGCTCCTCGCGCTCGGCTGGTGGCCCGCATGCTGCCGCGTCCAGCGCCAGGTCCAGACGCGCCCCGGCGACCCCCAGGCAGCGGCCCTTTGCGCACTATCTTCTTATCCATCATCCATTATTTGGGCGTCCATTAACGGGAGACGCCCAGGCCCGGCACGGTTTCGTGTGTGGCCATAAGCACAAGCGGGCCTCTGCACCTTTAAATTCTGCCGAGGCACGGCGCTCACACCTCTCGACAAGGCGCTGACTGACTGCATTGACGTAGCAGTTTTGTCACTTAACCGTTACGTCAGCGGGCGATGGGGTCGTCACTTCCCTACGCCTATTATTATTATGTGGGGTATCTGTATAGTTTTCTCATCTGGTTGGGTTCTATAAATATATAATTATAAAAGAAAATGAAAAGATAAATATACATAAATATCAATAAAAAAAATAAACAAAAAATACACAAATAAATAAAAGCCCAACCAGATGGAAGCCCTCGGCAGGGGGAGACCAAACGGCCAAGGGTTAGGGGGAAAGGGAAAGAAACCGACGGACGATGCGGGCAGTATCAAGGAGCACCGCCTTCTGCATTTGAGCCCGGAGCGATCCGTCACGGAGTCCCAGTCGCCTCAGATAACCCGAGAGGCTAACTGGGATTAGCCCATTCGCAGAAACGACTACAGGAATAATTTCGGTCGGCAAACCACCCCACATGTCGGTCACCTCGTGAGCCAGGTCGATATTTTGATTCTTATCTTTTCTCTCAGGTTCTCGTCATACGGAATGGTAATATCGACCAAAAATATCCTTGACTGTGCCCGGTCCATCAGCACAACATCAGGCTTATTCGCAAGAATAGTCCAGTCTGTGATGATGGCCCGGTCCTAGTAGAGCCTGGCGCGGTCATTTTCGAGCACGGCTTCCGGCAAGTACTTGTAATACGGCAATTTCCGGTCCACGAGACCGTATTTCAGAGCGAGCTCCTGGTATAGAATTCTGGCTACTAGGTTGTGCCTGTGCAAGTACTCAGAGTTAGAAAGCGCCGAACAATCGGAAATGACACGCCTAAGTGACTCCCCGGGATGGCGACAAGCTCGACAGACGTCGACGGTGCCATCCCTTAGCATGTATCTCCGATAGTTGTTGGTCTTAATAACCTGATCCTGTATTGCACAGACAAAACCCTCGGTTTCTCCGAAGAGATCACCGAAACGTAGCCAGTTGAGGGAGGTGACTGTATCTACGAAGGGCTCATGTAGAGCCCTGTAGTACCTCCCGTGGAGCTCCTTTCCCTTCCATACGGTCTCCCGGTCGGAAATGCTAAGCACTGCTGTGTACCGCCATTGCTCGGTGGTTAAGGATAGAGGGGTAAGCCCTTTATCACTAGAAATGACGTCATTATAGAATGGATCATCCGATCTCGCCAAGAAGTAATGACGGAAACTGCACACTTCGCGATTATGCATGGTGAGCGCGCTCAGAAAGCCACGCCCACCATACTTTCGCGGCAAGTACAGCCTCATTACCGACGATCTCGGATGATGCATCCTATGGGACGTCATGGTAGTGCGGACTTTTCTATCCAGGGCGTTAAGCTCAGTCTGAGTCCACCTGAGTATGCCAAAGGTATACATGAGGACAGGCATGACCCAGCAGTTATATGCGTGTGACTTATTCACACCGGACAAAAGGCTGTTAAGCACTTTGGTCAAGCGTGCATAAAACACGTCGCAAACTGACTGTTTCATACCAGTCTCATCGATACCGATGTTTTGTGACATACCCAGGTATCGGTATGTTTCAGCCTCGGAAAGGGTTATTAAGTTGGCGGGCATAGATAAGTCTATGCTCTACAACCCTTCCCCTTTCAACGTGGAAGACCGCACACTTATCTGTTCCCAGCTCCATTCCAATGGAACTGCTAAATTCACAAGTGATGTTTAGCAGTTCCATAAGATGGGAGCGACTGGAGGCGAATAACTTGAGGTCATCCATATAGAAAAGGTGGATCACTTTTGTCCCTCTTTTCCGTAGCTGAAATCCCCTCCCGGAGCCCTCCAGTAAGGTACTGAGAGGGTTAAGAAAGAGGCAGAACCAGATTGGACTCAGACAATCGCCCTGGAAGATACCCCTTCTTATCCTTATGCGGTTCTCCGCAGCCGTCATCCGCTCGCCCAGATGACAGAGGATCGTACTCCACCGCCCCATACACTGCTCGAGGAAGTCTCTAACTGTACAGTCAATCTTGTACAGCTCGAGGATCCTCTTTAGCCATGTATGTGGCACCGAGTCGAACGCCTTTCTGTAGTCTATCCAGGCGGCGGAGAAGTTCCGACGGTCGCGTTTCACCACTTTGCCAATGACCGCGTCAATGAGGAGTGGTTCCTTAGTTCCACGACCACCGCCCTGACATCCATTTTGATCGCGTGACATCACCTGGTTTAGCTCCAGGTGACGAGTGATTCTCGCGCTCAAAATGGATGTCAGTGTCTTATATATGGTGGGTAGACACGTAATGGGGCGGTATTTGCTCGGGTCTGTGGTATCCTGATCTTTAGGAACCAAGTGAGTGATTCCAGTAGTGAAGAGGCTCGGGAGTGACTTCTGGTCGAGAACCTCTTGAAACTATCGGGCGAGCACAGCGTGACACACTATGAACCCCTTCAGCCAGTAATGATGCAGCCCGTCGAGCCCCGGACTTTTCCAGTTCGGGGCCCTACAGACCGCCTCAGCTACGTCATCCGGCGTTATGATGACGGGGTCCATGGGCTTAATACCCGCACACTGACTCGCCACAACTTCCCTCCAATGGCCCTCGCTGTGGTTTACGGGCTCTGACCACAGGCCGCGCCAGAATGCTAGAGTGTCGACCTGATTCGTTGCTGGACCCGTTCCACTTACCATTGGTCGCTCCAATGATTCATAGAGCCTCTTCTGATCACTCTGGAAGAGACGATTCTGGTTGAACCGTGTCGACCTCTCGGTATATCGCCGAATCCGCTTTCCCCAAGCAGCGATTCTCTGCTTCAGATCATCTATGCCCTCCGTCAGTTTTTGCGTTATATCCGGCTGGGACAAACTGACATTTGTCCCAGCAAACGCCATCCTGATGGTGCGCACAATTCTTGGCCTGTTGTTGCCTGATCTGAAGCATATCAGTCTGCCGATGAGAGCTCTAGCCTTTGCGATACGTTCCTCAATTCTTCTTCTCAATGCTGGGATAGCGCTACTATGGCCAGTAGCGCGTCCAGCCGTGGAAACCTTGGCGCTTATGATACGGCAGACTGCCAGCGCGGCGCCAAAAAGAATGGAATCCGTCTCGCAAAGTTCCCGGCTGGCTTCCAAATAGGTCACCAGCATTGGGTTCAGAGCCCTCACGACAGCCCGATTCCGCTTGCTTAGGGCTATGCGGGGAAGTCGCGGTCGATTTTCGAGAGGCGTACTGCGCGTTTCCACAATCGCCTCTTTCAATGTACTCCTCATATGCTCTAATTCCAGTTCCTGGGCGACTGTTCCATCATCGTTTGGATCAACCACAACTGGGGTGTTCACGGCGGCATCCACGTTTGCGGGTTGCTCTACCATTTGTGGCGCCGCATCCTCAGCCGTAGCATTCTCATCCGACGAGGGAACAGCCTCACGTCGTAGCCGTTCGAGTTCGGCGACATCAAATATATTTGAGCGCAAGATATACCGAACTCGGTCTGCCAGGTTTTGCTCTGTGGCGGTTAAAGATGGCTCCAGCTCAGCAAAAAGACGATGCATCCTAGCCCGATACGCCAAACATCCAGTTTCTTCCCCTTTTGCCCTAAAGTACGCCCGCAGTGCGTTTGCATTCATTGCTTGTGACCAACGCATGCGACGTGCTCCACCAGCGGCGGGTGCCGCTTGCTGAGTCCGAGAAGACCCAGCCGACACCAAGCCTTCTGGTGGGGATGATGGATGCGGAGGGCTGCTAGGTGACCGTGCAGCTCCTCGCGCTCGGCTGGTGGCCCGCATGCTGCCGCGTCCAGCGCCAGGTCCAGACGCGCCCCGGCGACCCCCAGGCAGCGGCCCTTTGCGCACTATCTTCTTATCCATCATCCATTATTTGGGCGTCCATTAACGGGAGACGCCCAGGCCCGGCACCGTTTCGTGTGTAGCCATAAGCACAAACGGGCCTCTGCACCCTAAATTCTGCCGAGGCACGGCGCTCACACCTCTCGCAAGGCGCTGACTGACTGCGTTGACGTAGCAGTTTTGTCACTTAACTGTTACGTCAGCGGGCGATGGGGTCGTCAGTTCCCTACGCCTTTTTATTATTATTATTATTATGTGGGGTATCTATATAGTTTTCTCATCTGGTTGGGATGTATAAATATATAATTATAAACGAAAATGAAAAGATAAATATACATAAATATCAATAAAAAAAATAAAAAAAATACATAAATAAATAAAAGCCCAACCAGATGGAAGCCCTCGGCAGGGGGAGACCAAACGGCCAAGGGTTAGGGGGAAAGGGAAAGAAACCGGCGGACTATGCGGGCAGTATCAAGGAGCACCGCCTTCTGCATTTGAGCCCGGAGCGGTCCGTCACGGAGTCCCAGTCGCCTCAGATAACCAGAGAGGCTAACTGGGATTAGCCCATTCGCAGAAACGACTACAGGAATAATTTCGGCCGGCAGACCACCCCACATGTCGGTCAGCTCGTGAGCCAGGTCCAGATATTTTGATTGCTTATCTGTTTCGTCTCTCACGAGGTTCTCGTCATACGGGATGGTAATATCAACCAAAAATATCCTTGACTGTGCCCGGTCCATCAGCACAATATCAGGATTATTCGCAAGAATAGTCCTGTCTGTGATGATGGCCCGGTCCTAGTAGAGCCTGGCGCGGTCATTTTCGAGCACGGCTTCCGGCAAGTACTTGTAATACGGCAATTTCCGGTTCACGAGACCGTATTTCAGAGCGAGCTCCTGGTATAGAATTCTGGCTACTAGGTTGTGCCTGTGCAAGTACTCAGAGTTAGAAAGCGCCGAACAACCGGAAATGACATGCCTGAGTGACTCCCCGGGATGGCGACAAGCTCGACAGACGTCGACGGTGCCATCCTTTAGGATGTATCTCCGATAGTTGTTG